GTAACCCTACTATCCAGGTTCCTTCTCACAGCCCTACTATCTAGGATTTCATATCGAAGTAACCCTACTATCTAGGTTCCTTCTCACAGCCCTACTATTCAGGCTTTTATATTGAAGTAACCCTACTATCCAGGTTCCTTCTCACAGCCCTACTATCCAGGATTTCATATCGAAGTAACCATACTATCCAGGTTCCTTCTCACAGCCTTACTATCCAGGCTTTCATATTGAAGTAACCCTACTATCCAGGTTCCTTCTCACAGCCCTACTATCTAGGATTTCATATCGAAGTAACCATACTATCCAGGTTCCTTCTCACAGCCTTACTATCCAGGCTTTTATATCGAAGTAACCCTACTATCCAGGTTCCTTCTCACAGCCCTACTATCCAGGATTTCATATCGAAGTAACCCTACTATCCAGGTTCCTTCTCACAGCCCTACTACCCATGCTTTTCCATACCGAAGTAACCCTATTATCCAGGTTCCTTCTCCTAACCTTGCTATCCGGGTTTGGCCTCCCTTATCCCCAGACAACAGTCCACAACATTGTAAGACCAGAACCCAATCAAACACAATTGATTTCATATTTCCCCAGTAACTCGCGGTGTAGCATATACCCTAACCAAACACGTAGTTCGCTTCCGCTTCCTAAACCGTAGTTATTCCCCAGTAGTGTAACGGACAACTGAAGCTCCTAAAACTCTATTCCTCTCAAGACAGAGACCAGCAGTCCCCAGTGAAGTCCTCCTTAACAACAGGTATATGGGTTCTCGCAAAGGAATCTCTTGTGCGAATGACACTTCCTCGTATGGCATCTTTAAGCCCATCTCCGACAATTTTATAGAAACTACCAAATGGAATCTATAAGCCCATTCCCGATATCACAAATCAAGTATCACTTCAGGCGAGTGCAAATTTCTGGTCACTCTAGTGTTCAATCATCTTCCACCTTCAGATCACGAAGGGCAGACACGCCAATCTACATCCTCAAGTTTAAGAAGATTGAACAGGGGCGGCTGTTGTACCCTAAAATTTTCCCTCCCATATTTCTCAATACATGTCAAGTGAGGTCCTCAAATTGCTCAAGGAAGTCAAAGAGTTGACCAGACAAACTCTCTCCTAAGGCAGTCTACCTCAAATTAGGGTTTCATTTTGCATCCAGATGCTTGAGTCCAAAGGATCCCAAATTCTCACCATTGTCCTAATATGTTCTTAAGATCATCCATGTCAAGTTTCAAGCCTTGCAGATGAAGTTTGCTCAGTTAATTGCTCAAAGGCCTAAAAAATCAATTGTGTTAGGTCAAAAGTCAATTGTGGCACATATATAGTCAAACTTCAAGATTTTTGGTCAAAATCCTCATTTTGAAGTATCATTCATCTTTTGATCAAGGGTTGATCATGATTCATCAAGGATTGCCCATAATTCATCAAAACCAAAAAGTTGCTAAATTAGGGTTTTGTAGGAAAAGTCAACTCAACTTTGACAAAGCATAACTTTCTCATACTTTATCAAAAACGACCCATCCAAAGCTCATTTTGAAGAGGATGCAATTCCCTACAATTCATATTCATGTCCTAAGTTCTAAATATGCACTCACAAGAAGATATGAATTTTGACATTATAGGTCATTTTGAAAAGTCAACAAAAACACCTTTTGGGTCAAAGCTTCATACATGAACATGGAAGACTAAATTGAGATGAGACCAAAAGGGTTTCTTATAGGACATCTTAAGATTTCTAAAAAGTCCAAGAACACTTCTCTAGGGTCAAAATTAAGAGAGTTATGCATTGGCCAAGTTGACCTTTTTTGCCAAATTACCAAAAGTCAAATATGCTCAAATTTGCATTTTGTGCTAAATGGGCCCAACTTTTTATGCTTGCACTTAAATGATAACATAATCCACGACCTATGGGACCCTCCATGCTTTATTTATTCATTAATTTTATTTATTTTGATTTTTATTCATTTAAAATTCAAATAAAATCAAATAAATCCTAATAAATCATATATTGCGTTTTAGGGATGATTTATGCATTGAAAGAAGATCTTATATGCTGTCAATTGAGAATCAACTTGTGCAAGGCCAATTTGGTTGGAAAAAGATTGGATTTGAGCAAAATTGGAAAGAAATCATATGCCATGAAAGACCAAATCAAATCTCTATGATGAGCAAGATTGAGGTCGTTTTTATTGACCTAATAGGTTGTATTACATATACAGAAGCAAGCCAAGGCATGAGGAGGTTGGAAGTAGTCGTGCAGAGGTGAAACAAAACTAAAAAAAATTCAAGAAAAGTGGTGATCCAATTTTCGTACTAGAGACCAAATCGTGCCATTCTCACATTGCCAACAGGTTGCTGGACATTCCAGGAACATATCCCAATCATTTGCAAGCCTTTTCATGCCTGGAATTGTAAGTTACAGGTATCACGATTTGCTTCCAAACTCGTTTTTGTTTTCATCAATTTACACATCATTTGTACGTTTTGACTGCATATTCTTATTCTTTAACATGTTTGTAAGCTAATCATCATATTCAATTGTGTTTTCGGTGATTGTATGACAAACTGCCATAGCTAGGGTTTCAAGTTCTTGTTTAGGGCTTTACAGGATAGGCAAAATTGGACATTGATTCTGGTACCATGAGACTCGTGAGGATGAGACGAGTTGATTGGTACCAGCCATGGCCATTTATTTTGAGCCTACACGATTTTGGAGATGGACAGAGATATACCTACAGCAAGTGTCCGTAGGTAAAAACATTGTTACCTAAAACGATGGATGGGAGGAAGAAGATAGAGGCGTGGCGCCCCCTGGTTGGGCAATTTGAATTTAGAGCACTTTTCATTATTGTCCATATATTATATTTTGTTTTTATTGTATATACAAGTAAACCAAATGGCTCAGTTGGAAAGCGTGCAGGGAGAAAGTGCAGAGGACATGGGTTCGATTCTCAGGTCCCAACCTTTATTCATATTATTTTTTAACAGGCAATCCAGCGTTTTGCAAATCAAGAGGCCCACCATGTACCATCAGGATCTGGCCATTCAACTCACTAGCGCTCCAGATCAACGTGCTACGCTTGGAGGACCACCATACGCCCCAGGTTAACATATGCATTGGATTAGGGAAAGTCAAAATGGGTCTTAACCATTTGGGCCCAGAAATTCAATTTCAACCCCCCTTTTCAGCAAACACCATCAGGCCCATTTTCTTTCTTTTTCTTTTAGTTTTTTTTTAAATCTTTCAATATTTATTTTATTCAATTTAATTTACAATTAATTTATTTTTCATAAATACCATAAAATCAATAATTCACAAAATTAGGATTAGTTTTTTTATTTATTTATCAAAATTAATTTAATTTAGTTTAATTTAGGAAATTGTAATTTGTCTTCAAAAATAAAGTCAAATTGAAATTAGGTTAGACTTTTCCTTTAATTTTATTTTGTTATTTTTCTTAAATAAATATAAATATAAAAAATAGGCTTTTAGACAAATTAATTTATTTCTTAGTTTAAAATTAATTAGACTTAGGATTTTCCTTTAATTTAACAATTCCATTATTTTCTCAAAACAAAACAAAAAAACATTTTCTTTAGTTAATCGCAATTAGTTATAGCCAAGGGTTAAAACTCTAATTGCTCTGCATACGATCCATCGCGTGCGTATTATTATTTTTACCAATATTTCTGTAAATGCTCATGGTTTGTAATAGTTTAATCTAGGGTTTTTTATTTATCGCTTTTATCCGGGTTTTTGGCTATGTAATTAATCCCCCTCCCCGAAGCCTTGTAATAGCGTAGATTTATTTTCTCGCATTTTAATTCTCGCAAATATTTGACTGTTTAGATGAATGCTAATAGGATTATACGACAAGAATGCATGACAAATTAATCCAGTTAGAAAACCCTAATGTGCAAAGGTTAAATAATTGAAAACAGATCACTCGCACATATCACTCTCAGAGTATACTCCCACTTCGGTTGCCTTCGGTAAATGATCATTAAGTATAGGGCGTTCTAGTGGTTTCCCTCCTGTCTAATAAAGATCAAATGTCCCATTTGAATGTTGCCTCGGAAATGTTGCCACGGAAATGTTGCCTCGAATATGATCTTAAGACTCTAGGGTTATTACTAAGGTATCCTAACATTGCTTTAGTGATGGTATGTCCCTTTCGAATTGTCCCTTACAACTCCAACGACTAGGGTTACCTACTCACTAATAGAAGGATAACACAGTCTAAAGGAAACGAGAATAGAAATAATCTTTTCTCGAGTAGGTAGATGTTAGTAGGTACTTGCTCAAAACAAAACTCTTCGCACTTACACTTTTCAAACAAACTTTCAAAACAACTTCATCACACCTTTGAGGATTGATACAAGGGTTATCACAAAGTAAAAAAATTTCAAAAACAAAGCACATACACAAGCAATTTTAAAGGATGAGCAAGTATCTAAGAGCCCATGGAAAACCACGGATAGAAAGGGTGCTAACACCTTCCCTTTCTATAATCTACCACCCGTACTCAAAATATCTCAAAAAAGGATTTTTTTTTCTGTACTTTTTTCCTTTCTGATTGGATGAACTAAAAGTCGGTGTCGACTCTTGCTTACCGCGACATTTTGTGAACAAAAAACACAAACCAGCATTTCAAACAGTCGGTTCTCCCACCGTATCACACATTGAATTTTAAATTTTTTTTGCAATTTTTATTATTTTTTGTTATTATATAATTATTACTATATATTATTGTTATTTTCGGTAAAAACATTCCAAAACCAACGCATTCATCAATAGTAAGTCTAACGTATTGATTATTCTTTTAGAATAGTCAAATATATTATATTATTAATAAAAAATAAAACATATTTTTTTAGATTTTAGAGTCAAATGAATTACCCTTAAATACACTTTGTTTTCTCTCTTTTTTCTAACTACACAAAATTGAGTTCACCTCAAAAAGAATATTCATCCATTTGCTAAAATTCTCAAACATGAAGGACATTATAGTTCTTTATCCTGCTCTAGGTAGTGGACACTTAATGTCTATGGTTGAATTAGGCAAACTCATAGTAACTCAGTATCCTTCATTTTCCATCATAATTCTCATTCTTACACCACCCAATGAAAACACAAACAATAAAGACACCACTCTTTCTCCCCAAGAACACTACATAGCATCAGCTTCAACAACATTTCCTTCAATCAATTTTCATTATATTTCTCCAATTTCACTCCCTGCAACACTTCTAACACATTTTATTACCTTTGAAATCTCTCCACAAAGCAACCATCATGTTGACAACATTATTCAATCTATTTCCAAAACCAAAAACCTCAAAGCTGTTATATTAGATTTCTTCACCTATAGTGCCTATCAAATAGCCACAAAACTTGAAATCTCCACTTACTTTTACTACACTTCAGGTGCAATTGCATTAGCCACTTTCCTCTATTTGCCAACACTTCACCAAAATGCTAAGAAACAAATTCAGGATCTTCACATGCCACTTTGAATTCCTGGTTCGCCAAAGAATTTTATAATAGATGATTACCCAGATGAATTGGATTTTGAGAGTGATGAATTCAAGATTTTGCTTGAATCTACAAAAACTATGACAAAAAATGTTGGACTTATTGTGAACACTTTTGATGCTATTGAAGGAAAAGCAGTTGAATCTTTAAATAAAGGATTGTTTGTTCCTAATCGAACTACTCCTACATATTTCTCTATTGGACCTCTGATTACATCTTCTTATGATGGAGATGAAAATGGGTGTCTGCATTGGCTCAACTTGCAACCGAGTAAAAGTGTCGTGTTGTTAAGTTTTGGAAGCATGGGGAGATTTTCTAAGGCTCAATTGAAAGAGATAGCAGTTGGTTTGGAAAAAAGTGAGCAAATATTCTTGTGGATTGTTAGAAGTTAATTAGGCTCAGAAGAGCTCAATTTGGAAGACTTGTTACCAGAAGGGTTTTGGGAGATGACAAAGGAAAATAGAATGGTGGTAAGAAATTGGGCTCCCTAAGGTGCAATAAGTCATGATTCAATTGGTGGATTCGTGAATCACTGTGGATTGAACTCGGTGTTGGAAGCAGTTTGTGAAGGTGTTCCTATGGTGGCATGGCCTTTGTATGCTGAACAAAGTCTGAACAAAGTGATTTTGGTTGAAGAAATGAAGGTGGTTTTGGAACTGAACAAGTCAAAAGATGGGTTTATGAGTGGAATTGAATTAGTAGACCGAATTAAGGAATTGATGGAATCATATAAAGGAAACGAGATTTGACAAATGATTTTCAAGACGAAAATATGTTCTAAGGAAGCTAGAGATCAAAATGGAAGTTCATTTGTTGATTTAACCAAGTTGATTCAATTGTTCAAGCAAAAAGAAACAACATCATCTAGTTGATTGATTAATCTTTGTTTTTTGTGTGATAAACATATTGGCTAAAATAAGACCAATCTTGTTAGAATACTCACAAGATGTTTTATTACATTAATAATAATAAAATGGTGCAAAAGTTATGATTAAATTTAGATTTACAAATTTTTACTGACTTTATTCTTTCATTTTATTTTTTATTTAAGAATTTGTAATTTAATTACTGTGTTAAGAAAATTAGTCTATTTAGGTAATAGTAATAAAGGTTTCTATAAACCATGTATAGTACAAGAAATGCTCTCAAAAGAGAGATAAAAGGATTTTTGTCTTAGGTTTGGGGTTTTCCCTTACTACCTGGTGGTTATATTATCCGTGATCAAATAGATGTGTGTGGATTCAATTATGATTAGTTAAACTTCGTATGACCAAGATAAAACTTTAAAATTCATAAGGAAAACTTTTGGTTTCATGGTGTATATGGTTATCAAGTGCATCAACTGAAACTATTGTACACAGAGGGGAACGAGAAAGACACGGGGAAGATAGATAATGATGGGTGCACATAAGTGATACCAGAAGGAGAAAAACACATCAATCATATTCCCAAAGACGCGTTATAGACGATCACTAATGATAGACATAACTTTAAGATGTATTGACTATTTATATGCACTACGCCAAAAATAAGCTTTAGCATCACACATACGAAAGCGCTTTTAGGAAAAAGCGCTGCTATAGGTATTAAAAAAAGCGCTTTCAAAGGGTACCTTAAGAAAGCGCTTTTCAAAAGCGCTGCTAAAGGTCACCCTTAGAAAGCGCTTTTTGAGAAGCGCTGCTATAGGGTGCCTTTCAGAGGGAACCTAAGAAAGCGCTTTTCAAAAGCGCTGCTAAAGGTCAGCCTTAGAAAGCGCTTTTCAAAAGCGCTGCTAAATCTGGCCTTTAGAAAGCGCTTTTAAAAGCGCTGCTATAGGGTATGCTACGTAAGCGCTTTTTTATGAAAAAGCGCTGTTATACATGACCATTAGAAAGCGCTTTTAAAAGCGCTTTCGTAGGTTGTTTTATAATAAATTTTAATGTTTTTGATTAAAGCTGTGTGTTCGTACTGTACGTGGCTCTTGTGTTTCCTCCTCTCTTCCAACGTCCCAAACCCTTTTGCTCCTGTTCCTTCTTCGTCCAAAGCGATTTTTCACGGTAGCCACCATCGTCAACTCTCATCGTCGCTGCACGAGTCGTCCCTCTCTTCACAAGGTTCGTTGATTATTATTTTCTTCTCATTTACAGTGTATTGATTGTTGTTGTTTGTTTGATGATTTTTGATGATTATTTTCTTCTCATTTACAGTGTATTTTCTTCTCGTTGATTATTAATATGTTATTTCATTTTGAGTTAATCTTGAATGAATTAAACTTGGTGTTGATTTTGATTGTTCCTAATTTTGTTTTAAAACATGTTGGCTTTGAATTTGTGATGACATTGTGTGATTTGGTTTTGAATGACGAACTCGGTTATGGTATTGTTGTTTATCGTGTGCACATGGAACACTTGTTTGAGATGAGTTTTATTGAGCATTATTAGGATTACATAGTTGTTTCCCGGAATTTGGTTCGGTTGATTTTAGCTTACTTTGAGCTTGATTTTTCATATCATGAACTTGAATTGGATAAGAGCTTGAATTTTTGGTTCCCGTTAGGTGATTATGTTTTAAAAGTTATTGAGCGTTTATTGAATAATCGGGCACGGAATATATTCTTGGAAGCCATAGTGACATACAAAATTCTTGTTTCATTGATTAGCAGGCACAGTTAGTGTTTCTCATTCACACTAGTTGGACGGTAGGTAATTGTGATTCCCGATTAAGGCTCTCTGTCTTTTGATGTTTGTTTAATGTGTTTTGGAAATTAATCGGTTTCTTTAACTTCTTCAGGACCTTCCGATTCAGAGCAACATATCTCACCAGAGAACTCAAACGTGTCAAATCGTCAGAAAACAAGAGAACCGCCAGGTGATTGTTTCTTCTTTTCAATCTATACAAAATATTTTCTTCAATTGATTAGACACTTAATAATGAGTTCAATACCAAAGACAGTAGCACAAAATAGAAGGAAATGTAAGAAACCTTCATGTATGAATGCACTTAAATCGATAGTACAAATGAACGTTGTTGTTGTGTATTGCACTTGAAAGCACCAATAGATAATTCTTCTCGAAGGTACTTGAGCTACTTCTCGATAGATTCTTGAGGAACAAGTTTTGAATTAAAAGCACAAATGAGTACTCATTGGGAAAAATATTCTAAAAGGAGAAAGGGGGAAAGGTTGATTAGGAAGGTTACCAATTTTATACTAACGCAACACAAACATAATCAACAAATGATTCCATGGGCATTAAATCAAATCATAGAGATATTGTAGAGGTTTTACGAATTAATACAATAAAGTTTCATCTACGAAAGATATTATTGTATAAAATCTTTTTACCTTGTCAATGAATTAATATAATAAAGTTGCATCTTTTTACCTTCACTGAATTTCTTTGTACATGAGATGTGAGAGAAAAATGATTCTGCAGATTTGATATTATTAGATAGATCAAGAAATTTTTGCAATTTTAGGTTAGGAAAATGGAATACGGTTCAGTTTGGATGGAAAAAGTACAAGGGTTTACGATTCTGAAAGAAAATGAAAACGCGATAGAATTTGGAAAACATAGCCGCGTAAATTGGAAAATGGGTATATAGGAACATGGTGGCTGGTGGAGAACGGTCGTGGAATTTGAGCGAGGTCGGTTCTTATGACCGCCGTAAGACATGAAATGTGACTTGTACCTTCCACCAAAGGGATTCTATATATTTTTCCTTTACATAATCAAAGAATTGACGACGGTTGGCTCTTACGGCCGCAAAAATCGTCGTAGATAATGGATTAGGGCACTTTTTCAATAAATGTCGCAAATTATGTGTAAATTCAATTTTTTTTCTTTTAAGTTAATTTTTATTATCTCAATTTCATTGAAATTAAGGGAAGGTGTGCCCTTAGATCGATAGGAGAACTCCTTAAACAAATTTATCTCTCCTTCTCTTTCACTCATTTTTATTGTAAATTGTGAATTCATTGATTGTGCAATCAACATATTGAGATAATTTTCTTATCAATAATATTTTAAACAATTTTTTGTTGAGTTGATTGTAATCTATAAAATTGCAATTGATTTTTCATATCAACAAAACCAAAGAAAAATATAATTAAAATTGATTTCACACCAAGTGTTCGACAAATTGATTAAGTTAAGTTTTTGTTTAGCTCAGATTGACTCAGAAACCGTAAACCATGGATAAGACATGGATGTATTCTAATCGATTATCGAAAGAGTACGAGAACGGGGTATCGGAATTCGTTAAGTTTGCTGTTGCGCACGCCGAAGACCCCGGTCGAATGACATGTCCTTGTTTGTCTTGCTGTTATGGGAATCAGGTTGACGCGGTTCAGTTGGCATCGCATCTAATACGGTATGGAATTGATAGAAGTTATACATGTTGGAATATGCATGGTGAGAAAAGTGACGGGAATGATGAATCGGGGGATAATAGGACCTATGCTTCAAACGACAATGGCACAGATACATACGATTATGATCGAGTTGAAGAGATTGCAGAAGCGCTTGAAGAAGATCTTAATGATTGTCCCAAAATGTTCGAGAGGTTGGTAAGCGATGCAGAGAAACCGTTGTATAATGGTTGTACAAAATTCACAAGATTGTCTGCGGTATTAAAGTTGTACAACTTAAAGGCAGGCAATGGATGGTCGGATAAAAGTTTCACAGAGTTATTAGCCCTTATGAAAGATATGCTACCAGAGGATAATGTTCTCCCCAATCGAACGTATGAGGCCAAAAAGATGTTGTACTCTATTGGCATGAGCTATGACAAGATACATGCCTGTCCAAAAGATTGCGTTTTGTTTCGAAACGAGTATGCATCGTTAAATGAGAGTCCTAAATGCGGTGCCCCTCGATATAAGAAAAAGTTGTCTCCGGCAAAAGTCTTATGGTATTTTCCTATAATTCCGAGATTTAGACGGATGTATCGTAGTGAAACTGATTCAAGACATTTAACTTGGCATGCAGATGAAAGAATTGTTGATGGAAAGTTTCGACATCCGGCAGATTCATCACAGTGGATGAAAATTGATAATGATTATCCTGAATTTGGAAAAGATGCAAGAAACCTTCGCTTGGCATTGTCTACTGATGGAATGAACCCACACGGTATTCAAAGTATCTCGCATAGCACATGGCCTGTAATTCTTATGATTTATAACCTACCTCCGTGGCTATGTATGAAGCGTAAGTACATGATGTTATCTATGTTAATTTCTGGGCCTAAACAACCAGGAAATGACATAGACGTATATTTGGAACCTTTAATCGAAGATTTGAAGATTTTGTGGGAGAACGGTGTGGAGGTTTATGATGGGTATAGGAAAGAAAGTTTCAACTTGAGGGCGATGTTGTTTGGAACAATTAACGATTTTCCAGCCTACGGAAATCTATCCGGGTATAGCATTAAAGGTGAAAAAGTGTTTCCTATCTGTGAAGATGGAACCGATACGATGCAATTGAAACTTTGTCAGAAGAATGTCTTTCTCGGTCATCGTAGATTCTTAAATTCTAAACATCAATATCGTGGATGGAGAAAAGCGTTCAACGGAGATACCGAACAACGTAGAGCTCCGCCTGGATTGACAGGTGATCAATTATTTGAAAAGGTGAAAGATGTGAGTATTCAGTTTGGCAAGCCTTTTGCACATAAAGTTGTTACAGGTGGGTGGAAGAAGAGGTCGATTTTTTTTGAATTGCCATATTGGAAATCTTTGTACGTAAGACATTTTCTTGATGTTATGCATATT